GGCTTTGGGTTTTAGGGTTTGGGGTCATGCAGGTTGTGGTCTTGACGCCAGACGTTTGGCACTGCGAAGCCCCCGCGTCTAGTGCACGAATCCATGGTGCTCAAATCCCGCGCTTTCGAAGCTCCGGTGCACGAATCCTGCATGCGGGAATTTACCCGCGCTGTGTGAATCCTTCAGCGAGCGCGCGAATCGCTTTTGGCTTGATGCAAGTGCCCAGATGTCCTCAGTGTCGGCCGACATGTTCGTATACTCAGCACCGAGGTGTTATGGCAGCCGCTGTGAAATTCAGCAGCTATCAGGTCATCGTGGATTCACCGGCATAGGCGTGCAGCTCAAGCTGAATCGCGCGAGTGCTTGAAGAAAGTTGAGCGTGAAGTTGAGCGCATCTTTGGCATTGGTTTTGATTTCGCAAGGTTTGTTGCCTCTGGCGAGTTGGGGGAGTGGGGGGGGGGGGGGGGGCAATCACCAAGACCCACGAACGAAACCGAGGGACAGTCAGGGAGAGAGTACGGCACGGCTCTCAGAGGCCCGCAACAGGCGGAACGAGCAGGAGAATCGGGTGTGCGGGAGCCTACAGGGAGGCGAAACTATGCGGCCTTCCTCCCTGTGCCAGTAAGGAAAGGGCAAGGGAAAAAGAGGAGAGACACTTCATGAACCCAGTGGCCAATGGGATGCTGCAGCCGATGGGCTTGGGTGACAGGTTTGTGGAGACGCCCCGGCTTCAAGGGAGTTGTAGGGAGAGTGTCGAGCTGAAGGAGACTGCCCAAAAGCAAGGAGGCTCAAAGAATAAGCATCTGACGTGCTGTCCGGTTCCTGGGTGATGTATAGTGTTCTTCAGGTATTTCTCTGCATTTGTCTCAGTCGAAGCGCCAGGCTTGGGCGATGAATTTCGCTGTTGCGCTGGGCGCGGCGTGGTAGCTGGCAAGTGCTTCGACTGGGCGCCTGGTGGAGTGCACGCCGGGCAGATTGGTCTCAGCAGTTCAAAGTTCTGCACCAAATCCGGGCGAGCCGGATGCAAGCGGTCTTCTTTTACTTTAGATCTTTGGTGCTGCAGTGACAGGACGATGCTGTCGTGAAGTCTAAACTTGAAGCTTGAGACAATCTGAGGAAGCACACTTGCACGACCGAAGTGCAAGCTGAGAGCGTTGAAGATTGCTATGTGAAGCTGGCTGAGATGGATCTTCCATACGGCCTTATCAAGTGCCAGTAGGCCGTGGCACTCAGCTATTAAGAGCTGCGTCGCTCCTGCTGGCAAAAGCGACCCATACATTTGAGTCCAGACAACGCATGGTGTCCTCAATGTCGTGGCAAGGGGTTTCAACACTACATTTTCCCGTTTCTCGCAAGCTGGCCGTGCAGGCTGCGTGGTGGTGGAAACGCAGGTTCGCTCTTTTTCGAGGGTGTGTCTCGTGCATGAAAACGATCATGTCTCGGGCTAGGATCTACGGCTGAGACGAGGACAGAAGGGAATAACAACGATTTCAACAAAAAACGAGTTGAAGCTGACCCGTGGAGTCATGTCAAAAGGACGGAGAGTCCCGTGGCAGAGCCAGAGAAGGCGGCTGTTGCCAGCCTCCCAACAGATTTTGCAAACCAGATCTGAAAGCCGAAGCCACAGCTTGTTGTTTGCAGACTTTTTGCTGCATAAAAACACGCCGAGGCCGCCGATGCTCCCGAGGACAAGAGCTGAGGGTTCATGTGATCCTCATATTCTTTAGGGGGTTTAGGGTTTAGGGTTTAGAGTTTCAATCTCGACGTCTTTTTGATCTTTCGCCTTTAGGCCTTAACTTGCCGTGTTCGGTTTTCTGGGATCATGTGAATGTTCGAAGATTCTTCAATTCTTGGCAGTCTGCCCAGCTCCAAAGAATCACTGCTCGGGCTGGATAGTTTAGTGGTGCTGCCGAACATGTGTGGAGAGGCAGCTCAGGACTCACTACAGATAATATTGGTGACTGTACATTTTAGGGGGACAAGTAGCCGAAACATCTTGTACTTAGCAGAAGTGTAGTCCTAAGCTGCCACGAATCACAAAATGCTCGAGCAGAGCTGAAAGGCCTGACTGGCACCACGCAGTCTAGCAGTCTCGAGGACAGGTGCACAGAAGCGCACTTCGTTGTACACACGCACCGAGATTAGAGACACTGTGTGCACTTAGGTATGGCGCTTCATATAGCGATAAGAGAGGTTTAGCAAGAAACAGCAGATTCGAAACCATCAGAAGAGCCATGCCGTGCAGCTCAGACCAGGCATCAGAGCCAAAAGAATCCTCGGTGTTCGCGGCATTCTTGTGCACAGTAATCTCCACCGTCGGACAGGCCGATCGACAGCCGGTATGCAATTGAGAACCGGAAGCTGCTGCGATCAGTAAAGCTACAATTAAGAGTCTTAGACATTGTAAATCGAGGAATATTTCCAAGTTTATCATCACTTATGTTGTCGTTCGGGGCATCGTTTTTTTTCGCCATTCCTGTGTTCATTCCGGATTGCATCATCATGTTTTTTTGTGTCATTTCGGCTTCGTTTTTTTTGTAGCTCCTTTTTCACCCCTGATTCAATTTGCTGGAGAGTGGACGCTGAAAAATGACGGTGACCTTCCCTCTGTGATACATACGAGTGATGTGCAAAATTTGGCTGCAACGAGATCATGTGACATATACGCAGTCTGTTTAAACTGAGGGTACCAAAGGCTTCCGAGCTGACCCTCAGAGGAGAGGGAGGGGGAAGACAGGGAGGGGGGAGGGGAGCGGAGTGGGCAGGAGAAAGGAGTGGGCGGGGGAGCCACAGCCGCAAACTGTTCGCAGGTTGTGACATGTTAACGTTCGTTAAATACCAGCGACTGCAGCTGCAGCGACGACGTCGCACTGCGCAAAATCATGGGAAGTTAAACTCCTACTCTCCCTGCAGCCGCGATCTCCCTGGCTGGGTGCAGCCAAGCCTTGTGTGCAGTCCCCCTCCTCTGTCTTTTGACCGGTGGACTCTCTCTAGGCAGGTACTGTTGCTCCTCAGGAGGCCGGAGGTGCTGTTCCGGAAACTGAGGCGGCCTTTTCTGAGTAGGCTGCTTTGGTTTGCTGACGGCGATATCGGCAGCTGCTTTGGGGGCTGTCGGATGGGCACTGGGCTTCTGGGACATGTCTGCCCAAGAGGGATCCAGGGTGGGAGGCTTCCACGCCTTCCCACTGGTGCGGCGTGCAGATTGTAGTTGAGGCCGAGGCTGCTGGCCATCAGCATAGATTCACATATCCCCTGGCTCGATGCAGGTAAGCCTGGCAAAGCTCACGGTCGCGGGGGAGCAGGGGAACGGGGGAAAGGGGGCAGGGCAAGGGGGTTGGGCCGGAAAGGGAGGTGGAGGGAAGGAGTGGAATTCCGGCTGGAGGAGGTACTTAGTTTAGCCCCCAAAAGGCCTGGGCCTTTGCCCTCGGCGGAGTTCCTGAGGCTCTCCATTCAGGGTTGGCAAGTCCTGTTGGTTGCTTCCCTCCAAAAGTATGTAGCCTGTCACGGCAGCAGCCTTCAGCAGCTTCAGTGCATCGTTCAGGCCTATGTACAACTTGAAGCATGGGGTGCGTTGCAGGTTCTGCAAACGTCACGAGCTGCTTGTGGTCCGGACTCGACGAAGCTTGTCCATTGCACCTTAAAGGTGCCTGACAGTTGCTAGCTGTGTCCTTGGCTTTGTCGTCCCTGTGATGTTCATGCATTCAAAACTTTGAAACAGAATGCATAAACAGGGGCCATGAAATTTTGTTGGTTGGTGTCCGCAGCGTTGGAAACCTTCAGTTGATGTGTGTTTGTTTCCGGAGCTGGTCCCGTTGGCACAGCCGACCGCTCAGAAAGAATCAATGTCAGCAAATGGAGTGCCAGGTCACACTCCGTTGTTTGAGTCCACAAGTGTTTATGGTTAGACGGCAGGCAATGATGACCACGGTTGCTCACAGCGTGTCCATGCGAGTCCTGAGGCAAATGGCTTCCGGCCTATGGAATGATTTGAAAGGCAAGGAAGATGAACTGCAAAAATGCAACGAGATTTCGACAGCGCGGCGTACATGCAAGGCCAGGTGCCCAAAATGAAATCTACACATTTACGATCGCTGATGCAGGATCAGGCGCGCTGTTGTGTTTCACACTCGACCTCTGTGGAAGTGAAGAGTGCGCGGAAAGGCCCGCAACGACTCCATGTTTGTCCAGAGCGGGCAAATGGTCGCTGGCTCAGGGGAAAGATGTGGGAAGGTTTGCTGACTGCAAAGCCACGGCCCGCTTCTTTCGTCCACCGCCTCGGGTCCCTGAAGCCCAGCTTGCCGGAGAAATGTGTGGTGTTGTTTCATGCGGGAGGTGGCCGTCAAAGCTCTCCGACACTCGGGAACTTTCGCCCCCTAAGACACCCAGATCGGAGCAAAGGTTTTCAGCTGGATTCACTGACCCTCATTCTCTTGGGCACAGCATGTCTATGCCGTCATGCCGGTGCGATTGAATGTGCTGCGTCAGTGACATGGGGGGGCATCCAGGATTGCCAAAGATCGAAATTGCAGTGCAGCGGCACATGCATTGCTACGGAGTCCGTGCACTTGTAATGCATTCTTGGGCTTGGGCGGTGCACAAGATCATGTGCCTGGAGTTGGGACAACAGTGTGAGGTTCTCGACTACTGTCGCCAAAAGGTCGACAGTGAGACAATGTCCCTGTCCCGGTGCAGAGGAAGGAGCGCGAGCACATGCGAGCACTGCCTACACGAAAGTGTGCCAGGTCCAAACTCTTCGATCTCGCTGAGAAGGCCGCGGCCCTGGCATCTTCGAACAGGCCGTCAATTCTTGAGCTGAGTGGAGGCTGGTGTCGAGCAGAGGAAGGCGAAGATGCCGCCGGCCTCAGTCGCCTTGCACCCAAAGAACAAGGGCTCTCACTCACTTCAAAGGTTTGCAGGTGAGCGCATCAACCAGACCGAAGGCAGAGCAGCCTGTAACTCGGACTCGGGACATTGAAGACGAGCGTCCCAGAGAGCAACAGATCTCGGCCCAGCCCAAGGTTCTTCACCCAGCACTTCGAGCGCCTCGCAGTTCGTCCATCAATTTGGATGGACAGAATGTGGTGCCAGAGGTCCCTGCATTAATTGACATGGACTCGATGCTGACCTAGCTTTGTCATTTCCCGTCTCTGCGGGTTGCAGGCAGCAAGGTGGGTATCACGTTCTGCAAAAATTGTCCGTGAGATACTGATCGTGGTAGCTATGACAAGTCTTTTCCTGCAAGTGCGGCAGCAAATCGCAACACTCCTGCAAGAGTGCTGAGAAAAGGTCTGGAAAGTCTTGGATGCCATGAAGGGATTCTCCGACAAGGCTCAGCACAAAGAGAGTGGTCGCGCAGGGTCTCGGAACCGACTTTGTCTCGCAGGTTCGCTCAGGAGAATGGAAAGGCTTCACTGGAAAAGCATTGACAGACGTGGTTTGTATTGGGTCGGAGCCTCAGCCAGCACGGCGTCAATCCGGCGCTTGGGATTTATCCTGCTATTTCCTGCAACTACCAGTATGTACCTGAACGAGGGAACATATCCCAAAACTTCGTTGTTTGTGAAGCTGCTTTTCAGATGATGGCCTCTTCTCACAGCCCGAAAGTTTTGTCAAAAGAGAGGAGAGCGAAGGGCTTCAGGGGGTCGTGGAGTCGCACCCACTTCCTGACAACATGGCACCTCGGTTTGCCGTCCATCCGACAAAGACGGCCAGGGAATGTCATAGTTGTAGCAGAGATGCACACCACAGACAGCGACTGGAGTGGTTCAAGATGCTGTAAGAGGCAAAGTCGCAGGAAGCAAAGGTGGTCCAGTGTACGGCTTCGGCCGTGGAAGCTCAGCGCAAGTGTACAGCACAGACAGGGGGACCGTCGCATGAACTCTCTTCCGGTCTTGGCTTCGGCCTCACTGTGCAATGTCCAGGGCGGGACGGATGCCAATGGCAGTACCCTTGAATCAAAGAAAAACCTCCTGGCAAATATGGGCACATCAACAGATTCAGGGCAGATTCCTCCGACATTCTGCGAGACTGAGACCTGTTGCAGTGGTGCAGGATCGGGGGCTCTTACTTGGGCGTGGAGTTCGTCTACGAAGCTCTGAAAACAGATCCGGAGGCCCACGGCTGAGATGCAAAGCTGTAAGAGTTCCGTTCCGTGTGAGGCAGCGGCAGGGGCTCAGGGTCGGAAGCTTCGCTTCCTGGCAAATGTCGACCCTATCGACGTCCAGCGTGTCATGGGCTGAGAGTGTCTAGAGTCGAGAGACATCTAGTTTAGAGTCTATAGTGGTCACGAGCAGGGTATCATGTTGAGCTTGCCATGGAGGCCTTGGAAGGGCTCAATGCCGAGACGACCCTGGCCACTTTGCGAAGAAGAAGCGAAATCACAGAAGCTTCCCCTTTTCCCTTTCAAGGTCGTCATCATCTCGAAGACATTTACAACAGCTGAGACGATGCTTAATGCCAAAACAGTCAAGGCGCCGCAAGAGCAAAGATCACTTCTCGTCTAGTCTATTCTAGCTCTGCCTCAGGCATGGCTCGTAAAGGAGCTTGGTAGCGCAGATTGCCGAGCCCCTATGCAAGTGCTGTGGAGCTGCTCTTGTCAAGTGGATGTTTGTTCCCGAATCTCAGCCGTCAGCCGGTGTTGTCCTTTCTGAGGCGTCGCGAAACACGTCGTGGCATGCTCCACTGCTCTCGACAAGACCCAGGATGGATGGGCTGCACTGGGCCTTGGCAGCCTAGCGTGTTCTTGCTGTGCAGAGGCCTTCGGCATTGACTCGAACAATGTCTTTGGCTTCTGGGACTGGGCAAGTCACCCAGAGAGAAGCGCGCCTCTGTAGTCCGTGTCGCGTATATGTTCGAGGACAGTAGTCCTCTGCATCGCGTTGAAGGTCGGCGGACGCTTCTCGGTTTGGAGCGCCGTGGGCGTCCTCGCCTTGTCGCTGCAGCCGGGCCCTCGACGACGGATGCCAGCAGCCCTCCATGCGGCTTCCTTGTTTTCGGAGTCCCATCTCCCAGTGCCTAAAAGCTGAAAGGATATCTAGTAGTGCGTGGTGCCGCGTGGCACTTCCGACCAGAGGCTTAAACAGTGGGTGCTTGAGATGTGAGGGAGCAGCACACGGAGACATACACACACACACAGATATGCATGCCCACATGCAGACACAGACAGAGCGCAGTGCAACAGCACGGGCCAAGGAGCAGGAACAAACACCATAAGATTGCCCGTGAACGTGGCTAGGTATGGATTCGGCATCGTCAACCAATTCCTGGAAGGAGGGCATCGAGCTCGGTGGTGGCTTTGACTCCCACAACCTGTGGATGGAGTTTGATGTGCGGATCCTTGAAAGGCATGCAATGGATCAGCACTTCCAGAAGGCGTCGTGTCTAGCCTTCTTCTTTTGGCCCTTGTGCATAGCGGCCATGTCCGGTGCAGGCACCTGCCAAGGAAAACCTTCCACTTATCATTGGGCTACTGGACGCGACGCCCTTGGCAGCCGAGGATGCAGGTAATCTGTCAGGCCTTACTCCACAAGCTCTCCCATCTCATATGCGTAGACAGCTACTGTGCTCACCTTTCGTGATTGCTGCAAGTATGGGTCATTCCAACGACATCCAAGGTCTGGAACTGCAGCATGATGGGGCACGAGGGCGTTGCCATTCTGCCGTACTGCCAGGCCTCTTGGTAGGTTAGTGGATCGCAGATTCCAGAGTCCCCTATGGCGCGAACCTAGCCATTGCCTTCAGACATTTCTGGCAGGCCCTTGTGCGTTTCGTGCCTCACATCCAGCAGTTGGATATGGAAAGTCGCGCAGCGGCACAAGTGAGAACAAGAATCAACAGCGCCGCCAAAGGTTCGTGTTTGGTTTTCGACCAGTGACTGTTGACTAAGGTAATGGCAAACGCGTGCAGATGGCACTGGCCTCGATGGCTGACGCTGCGATCAGCTAGCACCGCGGGAGAGTGTGATGCGCCTCGAGGACGGGAGCGAGGTGCCGGTCGGAACCGGTGCTATTAACTTCGGTGAGCCCGGCACCAACGGCCCCTCAGACCAAGACGAGTAGCTGCGAGTAGCTCTTGCTGGGGAAGTTGGAGTTGCCAAGGCCAGCACTCCTTCTACCAGCTGATGCACCAGGGCCGAGTAATCCCATCTCACTTCATTGGATTCGCGGCATCCCAGAACCCAGCTTGTTTCTCAGTTTTCCCGGAACCATCAAAGATTCTGCAGCCTGCCCGTGTCAAGGTCGAGCTGCCTGGCGAAGCGGTTTCCAATCACGACGAGCTAATGTCAAACTTCTTCGCCCAGCCAGGTTCGTGGATTTGCAGCAATCGTTATCTCTTGATGCACCTGTGACAGATGCACTGGCTCTGGGGAAGACGGCCGAAGAGCTGAAGGAAAGCCGAAAGCACAAGAGCCGTCTTTCGAGTCCGTCCCTCGTGTCTCCAGGCCGACGGGATCCCCGAGAAGCTCGTGGCGCACAAGACGTTCCCAGGGGACAGGCCGTCACTGCTCTGGCCTAAGGAAAATTCTTCGTATCAGCCTGCGCAATCAGGCGTTGCAGAAAAGGACATATCCGTCATCGAACAACACCATGTGTCAGGTCCTTGCTGCTTCCGGTCTGCAATGCACATTGGTGTTTGGCTGAGATCATTGCCGCTAGGGAAAGGGTGCAGACTAGTGAGGGCCGGATGGGAGTGCTAGTCAGGCTGGGGCAGCTCTTGGCCCTCTACGAGCACCGCACTGCCGTGCAAGGAGCGATGGGTGCAGGATAGTTTTGAGAGCCATTCGCGTGAAGCCAGCGCAATGAGAGGCTGGTTGTGGGACATTAACTCGTTCGATCAGTGCTGGGCTTGGCCATTGAAGAGTAGAGACAACAGACTCGATGCCGATCTCTATCGCAAAGGTGGGGTGTCGAACTCGGCAAGGTCTTGGCCAAGGAGGTAGCCGGCTGTGCCACTACGCGTGTCACTTCTGCCTGCTAGTAACAGGTACGCGGATATTTGAGCCAGGCGAGGAAAGGATCGGCAGATGATTCCAAGCAGGAACCCAAGCATCCAATCCCAAGCGGAGCTGGTGTTGGGTGGCAGTCTGCAGGGATACACAGAAGTTCTTCAGGTTTTTGACTCCAACCAAGAAGCTTCTGGCGAAGTACCTCGAATAGAAAGGCGAAGGGTTTTTGACGACAAGCAGGCTGCTAGATTCAAGGACACTTGAGGAAACCTGCCCTGTGAGGTGATGCAGAATCGTGCACCTGGTCTTATTTTCAATTCTTGACTTCAAAGCTGACGATGCTGTTGAACCCCTGGGCCTTCCGCTAACTTGGTGAAGCTCGCCGGTGAGTGACAGGGCTACAATTTGTTTGTCTCTACAACTCTAATGTGCAAGGTCACATGATGTACGCAAGGCTCCGATATGCTCGTATCCGAAAACAGCAACAAGCTCCAGGTCTTAACAATGTCGCAACACTGTGATCCTGGACGTCGCAGTTGGTTTGTGTGCTCGGTGGATTGCGTCCTTGCCTGCAGCCATTTGCAGCCTTTTGAAGCCCCTGGCGGGATCCACTCCTCAGAGGAAGTATGAAGCCACAGCACTGCCTGTGCCTTACTACTGCCGTGGTGGCCTTCGCTACCGCGGCTGGGGCCGGACCAGCCAGCCGGCACAAGCCTCACATTTTGTTCCTTGGCGTTCTCTGGTTGGTTCTTGGAACTTTAACTTTTGTGTTTCTATCTGAACTACAAGCAGGAGGCTAAAAGTGTAACTTTTAGGAGGGTTTCAGAAGTCAGCCAAGGTTTATTCTTGCGGATGACATGGGGTGGGCCAACATAGGTTATCATCGGAACGGCTCACAGACGGCTGACGAGAAACAGGGCCAGCTGGAGGTACACACTCCGGCCATAAATGCCCTGGCAGCCGAGGGTGTCGTCCTCGACCGCCACTACTCGTACAGAATCTGTGGCCCAGCCAGGTCTGCTCTACTATCAGGCCGCCTCGCCCCTCATGTTCTGGTGAAGAACGTGGCAGTGACGGCTCAGAATCCCGAAGACCCCGTGAGCGGCTTCGCTGGCATCCCCCGCAACATGACAGGCGTGGTTGTGCACCGTAGTGAATGAGGCAAAAGCATTCCTTCGACACTGCCGGGGATGATCAAGCATCGGATCCGGAGTAGTCCGAGTTCAAGTGCAAAAAAACCGCCGTGCGTGCGAGACACGACTGAGTCCCAGGGCTGTCTGTGCAAACACAATCTTCAAAGAAAAACGCACCCATTCAGACAAGCACCAGTCGGGTGTGTGATTGATGTTGCTCACAAAGACCCGAGTCTTCGGATCGTCAGCGACAAGGAAGGGGCTCGGAAGTGCAATAAACTGAAATACTTGTGTCAAGCTTCGTCCCATGTAAGTCTTGGAAATCCTAGAGCCGTTCTCGGTACGCGCTGCCTTTATTTTGGTGCTTTGCCATACAGTGCCCTTGTCTCGAACAGTAACAAAGCATTAAATCATGCACAAACACATAGACAAGTACATGAACGCACACACACACACATACATACATACATACATACATACATACATACATACATACATACAGACAGACAGACAGAAAGA